GGTTAACTACAGTGGTGCGGGAAGCTGAATTGCAACAAGAGCGTTACAAGTTGGACCTCATCCAAGAGGGTAAGCTTTCTTCTGGGGTGTCCCCAGCTACTTTTGATGTAGCTTATAACTTGAGGTTGTTACCGAAGTTCGAGGAGAAGACTGTAGATTCTTTTTTTGAACTTTTTGAGCGACTTAACCAAAGACGACAGTGGTCTGATTCAGAGAAAACATTGCTGTTACAGTGTGTGTTAACTGGTAGGGCTCAAGAAGCATTGTCTGCATTAAGTATGGCTGACAGTGAAGATTACTTAAGGGTAAAGACTGCAGTGCTAAAAGCTTATGAGTTGGTGCCTGAGGCCTACCGTCAGCAGTTCAGGAAGCTAAGGAAGTCAGAAGGACAGACCTATGTGGAACTTGTTCGGGAGCTGACGATGAAATGTAATCGGTGGGTCACGGCTTCCGAAGTAGTACATCTTAATGATTTGAGGGAACTGTTCCTTTTTGAACAATTCAAAGATATCCTTCCAGAACGCGTTGTACTTGCAAAAACCAAGGGACTCCAAAATGTCCAGTTTCCCAGGCCTGTTGCCCTTGCAGCTTCTCCCCACAAGGTTGCTAGGGATGAGGCTATAGCTGCGGTTAAACTCTATACTACCCCGCAACCAGTTGCTGCTGCGGTTTCTACCTACGGACCAGCCCTGCAAGAGGTGAAGCCTCGCCCCTCCCAGTTGGCAGATGAAATTGATCCAGGGTATGCTCAAAACATACGGAGGATGGACGCAGCTCGTGGTGAAAGTATCTGTAGGCGTTTCTTGAATGGCACATGTAGATTTGGTTCCAGGTGTATATATCAACATGACTGTATACCGCCAGTTCAAATATGTAGGTACTTTCAGAAAGGTATATGCTGGTATGGTGAACGCTGTAGCTACGTCAATGTCCTTCACCCCGAAGTTGATGCAGCGGTTGCACCTAGAAGAGGTTCCATGCCTACCGTTTCCTCCTCCAGTGGGTCTTACGCTCCACCTGACAGAAGAGGGTCAGAGCTAGCTCTTTTGCAGGCTGCGGTGACGTCCAGTAGCCGATCACAGTTGCTGGTTCATAGGTCATATCCTCAACAGAACAACGAGCGTGTGGCAGCAGATATTGCCGAGGAACAATCATAAGATGCTCGCACTCCTCTCTCTGCATCTTGGGAATCGGTCCAGAGTTCAGAAGAAGCTCAAGCATGTGCATGTAACGAAAGAAATGAGCAGGATATTTCTTCTAATGAAGCAGCAGTCAATGGTGCATCTGCTGCAGCAGCCTCTAATTCCCTGAGGATTATTGAGGCAATAGAAGCCTCCCTCCAGAGCAAAAGCGTGATCTGGGCAGTGCAGCACTTCGAAGTGTATATAGGGAGTGGTTATAGGCCAATAGTGATATACACAGATCACAATCCCCTGACCTTTCTACAGTCTTTGCAGAACCCAAACCAGCGGTTAATGAGATGGTCCCTGTTTCTACAGCCTTTCCATTTGGACATCCGACATCTCAAAGGTTCCGAAAATGTGATGGCTGATGCTTTGTCGAGAGCAGTACCTTAAGGTGGTTTTGTTCCTGTTTTCACATCTTTGTTCCAGCGTTTTCCTGCTCTTTAATTACTTCGAGGGTGCCGGGTTGCTGAGTTGGTGAATGTGGAAAGTAGGCAGTGGTAAACTAGGGTAACATTTACACCCGGGTAAGCTATGTGTTATGTATTAGCTGTATGTAGAAGCTCTGTTATTGGTTTGGATGTGTCAGTGTCTTGGGGACACTTCTTTTATGGGGGGGGGGGGGGGGGGGTGGTGACAACCCTGTGGTCAGGGTCTGCCCCCAAAAAACAGTTTTCAATCCTGAGAAAGTCAAATAAGACGGTGTGTAAAACTACACTGCCCAGCCAAAAAAAAGTAACCACTTTGATTGAACTAGGCCAGTAGGTAAGGACTTTCCACTGGATAATAACTGCAGCGATGTATATGTTTTAGCTGAATACACGTTTTTTAACCCTAACTGATGCAGTTAGTCACTTATTTAATGTTTGTTCTTTCTGATGTAAAGTCAAGGTTGTAACTGTTAGCAGTAAAGTCGTGGGGCGCTGAACTGTTCCTTTGAATCTTTTGAATTTTGATACATGATATAATTTCTTGTCTTTCAAATTTGAAGGAGGGTGAGCAAGCATCTTCAGGAACATTCATCATTAACTCCTCCAAAAAATATAGTTTATTCAATAATAAATGAATATGTGAATCATAACAGTGATTGACAGCTGATAGGAATAATATGATTGTTAATATTATCATATTCATTCAGACAAACATCGACGAGACAGTTAATTCATGTACTTATTGCAGCAGTCTGCATAGATTTGGTACCCCTGCTGGTCTAAGAGTGAAACAAACTCATTCAGTTATTGTTCAGTTAAAATTCATTAAATTATGTCTGCCACCCAGAGGTCGCGTTAACCGAATATTTTCCGTCAATGACGAATTTGTTCTAACAATGACGGACACATCTGAAAGCAGTCCGTCATTTTGACAGATTAGAACACAACTCGGAACAGCGCCAAAACGTCCACCAGCGGCCCACATTATATTACATCCTTAGTGGCCAGGTCGACTGAAGGCGATCTACTGTACTCTACTGTAGTCTATAACTATTATTTAGTCATTCACACCCCTGTCCAGTTGGTGGCGAGTGTGTGCATATTAAGTAGCTATTGTCTAGTCTTGTTTTTAACCTCGTTGATTACCTCGTTGTTTAACCGGCTTTAGCAATCGCAAAATGTCACGGCAGCTGATCGTCCGAAGCTTTTTTAATAAGCCCAGTAATTGTGATGGTGTGGATAAACGAGGTGAAAAAAGAAGGATTGATGCGGTGGAGGATGAAGGACAAGCCAGTAAGACTAAAACTGACAACGTTCAGCCAGCGGCAGAGGGGCAAGCAAGTGGCAAGGAGTTCAAGCGGGAGTACCGGGTTCAGTGGGAGCAAGAGTTTAAGTGGCGGAGGAGGGAAGATGGCAAAAATGTTCTGCGACACCTGTAGAAAAGCTAAAATGAGTAACGGATTTGTCCGAGGGTGCACGACGATGCAGAAATCAGCGTTCAGGCTAGGCTACAGCAGATCAATTGAGTTGTTCTTGTAAATGTTTTGTTCATATTTTGATTGTAATTGTCTCATTTAAAACGATGGCATTGTTCATATTTGCCTGTTTAGGCACAATGGTCGCGGTGTTTTTAGCGGCCTCAGCTGCTGTGCTGTCTGTCAGTGCAGGAAGAAATAAATCATTCATGTTCGTGTTGACATGAAAAGTGACCACACGGTCGGTGTCGCTGTTCATCTTTTTTTTTTCTCCATGCCCTTAAAAGTTCTGTATGAATCATTAAAAAAAAGAATGAATGAGCATTTGCTGCTCAGTACCCAAACATAAATATGAAATACGTCTCATCTCATTATTAAAACATGAAAAATAAAATGACGGATAATAATGGATTATGACGGAAATGTTACGATCCTGTCGGTCAAAATGACGGACAACGAAAAAGTCTAACGCAACCACTGCTGCCACCTTATATATTTATATGTAAGGCTTTACTGATGTGCCACAATAATGTATCTGATGTTATTGAGTTAAAATATTAATATTGTGGCTTTCCAAGATAACATTGATTGATATGACTGCGATTAAATCAGCATACTTCTGCCAGGGAATGCCACCCCTCAAAATCTCCTGCCACCCTCTTGCCATCCATGAATATTTGTCTAGATCCACCCCTGGGGGAGAGGGAGGCGGGGCTATTTCATCGTTATCAGAAAATGATCGTTCTCAAACTTTTTTCAATAATGTACCCCCTTTGAAAAAAAATTCAGCCATGTACCCCCTGATCAGCACAAAAAGCCATGTACCCCCTGATCAGCACAAAAAGCCATGTACCCCCTGATCAGCTAAAAAAAAAGCCTATATAAAGAGGTACAGTACAGTGCTGCACCATCAGTGTCTGATTTATTAAAACAACAACCTTGTAACTGAGAAACACTTAAATGCTACATTTCAAATGTTTACAATCCACTAAATTCATGGCAAACCAATTTTAACATCATGCAATAACACTAAGACGACATTAGTTGCATTGAACTGATCTTTTTAATAAGTTGTACTTTGTAGTGCCGAGAGATAGGGAGTCAGAGGCGGTGCAAGGAAGGTGCAAAAGGGTACTTTATTGGAGAGTAACTCAGGTCATGTTGTGCGGTTGCAGTCCGGGAAGAAGAGAGAGAAGCCAGGAGGGCACACAATATATATAGACCAACACATAACATGTCCGTGTGGAAACAATACCCAACTGTAGTTCCATGTGTGAATTATGTAACCCAGTGTATTAATAGGTGGTCACCACAACTTACAATTTAGTGAGAAATATGGGCTTGTGCTTCACTGAGGATCTTTGTCATGCTGACAGGGAGGCAAACTGCAGTTATTACACTTCGCGTTTTGAAATATGTTCAAAACTGCTCAAACTTCGTTACTTTTCCTAATATTAGTATATTTATTTATTTTGGGGCGTGGGGAATGAAGAGAAAAAGATATATGAGCATTTTATGAGCATGGGATTTTGACCCCTCATATAAACATGCATAATGCTAGGGTTAGTGTTAGGGTTAATGCTATACTTTGCGGCCACACGCCGTTGCCAAGCAATGCTTATTGTTTAGGTCCTTTGATAAGCAGGCAGTCATATCATTAACTAGAACTAGCTAGATCTGATAGATTTGGACATAAACGCGAGTGAAGTATAACCGGACGCGAGAGAGAGAGATCAGAGATCAGATCAGCTGCTGCTGACGGAGAACACGCAGCTCTGCATGATCACAGCTCCGTCCGCTGTGACGGACCGTTGAGCGGAGCAAAATACACTAAGAGTTAGACCTAACACACTTAGCTATTTCATCTACTCTGGAACTAGCTAAACTAGTTATACATGTATTTATTCTTTACTGTCGGGTCACTTATTACAGGTTCAGCGAGCTGCACGAGCCTGACAAGCTGTCAGGAGAGGGAGAGGAAAAGAGAGCACCCTGTTTATTGTTCCCATTTTATTATCCAGAATTACTTTAACATTTTGAATAAAGTAGTTAATCTTAATTTTTCATTAACATAAAATAAATCTCACGTACCCCCTGCAGTACTCCAACGTACCCCTAGTGGTCCGTGTACCCCCATTTGAGAACCACTGGTATAGACTATAGAGGCTTACACATAGAGCCGTTTGACCCCCCAGAGCGTTCCGTTTGCAGATCTATCCACCTTGGGACCCGTTATCGTTTGCGGGGTCCGTTTTTATCGTTTTGTTACGGCCTCGTGTAAACGAAAGGGCTATACGCAAGAGAAACTATGCAGATACACAAAGGTAAGGTAATCAGGAAATATTTTTGGGTTTGATTGGTGGCTCAGGCAGCCCGCTACCAGTGGAGGCCACATGACCTGTAGCTTAACATGTTGCCCGTCTCCTCATGATACTTCCTGCAATACATGCACCATCGTGGGTTGTGGTCACAAATGGTAGACACCACAAATCTGGTGTACTGAGAAATACTTTCCCAGTGTTTTATCAGCGTTTTTTGAAACCGTTTGGAAAGGACTTGAATGTAACGGACGTTTATATATATGTAAAAGTCCAGCAGTCCAGCTATAACATTAATGCTCACTCGCCTTTATGGCATATTTCGATATATGTATTGTTAACAGCCATTACGGTTGGCAAAAAAAGCCCTCTATTGTTGATTTTGTATTTGTTCCGAGTATTTAAAAGCTGTTTTTATCAATCTAGGTCTCCTGCTGTTTATCTGAAGACGGCTTTAATTTGTTTCCCTGAGTTGGACTTTCATGTGATACAGTTGGGGAGTCAGAGTGACGCCATAGACTGGAGTGTAGTCTGGCTTTCCTGCATCCTCAGGCCAGATGAAATTGAACTTCCTCAGCAGCGTCACCAGGATGAGGAAGAGCTCCATACGAGCCAGACCCTCTCCCAAACACATACGAGGACCTGTGACATAAAAGAAGACCATCTTCAACATGTGTGCATGCCACTACAGGTGTGAAACAGTGAGACCTGTACTGTTGATTTTTGTAATGCTCTCATACCTGCAGAGAAAGGCATGAAGGCCTCTGGTTTAACAAACTCTCCCTGGTCATTGAGGAAGTTTTCAGGGTTGAATTCATTGGGGAATTTCCATTGTCCCTCCTCATTAAGCACTGAGGTCAGGTTAGGAATGATCAGCGTACCCTGAGGAGAAAATAAGGAACATTACATTTAATTTAGCTGATGCTTTTATCCAAAGCAACTAATAATAATTACATTCAACCATGACGAAACTAAATACAAAAATCAGGAATAATGCAAATACAATCACTATTAATAAGCCAAACCATTGTAAGTGTTACTGCATTGGATTCAAATAAGCCTTTCTAAGGGCAACGTACAGAAGGGAGATTTCTTTTTTCACCAATCATTTCAAAAATACAATTAGCATTTTAAGTCATGAAACACTTTTTTGTTTTCGGGAACCCTTCTCAAGAACAACAAGACAAACTAGAACATGTATTTCCTGCTGAAAATGTGTGTGAATGCTGTAAACTGTGAACATTTGTTGCTGAGAAAAAGCTGAATATGTTATTAGTTGAATGGTCTCTGTAGCTGCTTTTAGCTACAAAAACCAAGTAAGTGTGTTGCTGAACTTAGCGGAGAAATGCAGAAAAGTGAAATGATTTGAATCAAAATTGTTAAAGCTCAAATGCATTGCAATGACTTTGTTGGAAACTTGAAAGTGAAATGTTAAACTGGAAGAGTAGGAAAAATAAGCTTAATATTTAAAAGAAAAGGTTTAAAAAAGGTATAAACAACAACACGTATAGCCTCAATGTCCGGAAATAGCTGAATAATTTAATAGTTGAATGGTTGCTGTAGCTGAAAGTAGGCTGAAGGAGTTAGATATTAAATGTAAGTAGTAGTGAATGAATGTGTATTAAGAAGAGAAAAGAAAGTAAAAACGCTTTGAAAAGCATCAGAATATTTGAACTGCAAACTTTTGAATTAAAACCACATGTCACCAATGATGTATAACATATGTGGAACATGTTGAAGTCAGTATGAAGTCTCCATCAGACAGAAAATAATAGGCTGAGACAGTCTTTAAACTCCAGTCTGTTTGTCAGTGTTTGTTTCTGTGCTGAGCACCTAATCATAACACCTGTGTGTGAGCCCAGAGATCAAAGGTTACCATGGTGACAACGTTATCAAACACCTGTGCACTGAGCCCAGAGATCCAAGGTTCCCATGGAGATGTGCTGTGAAAAGAGAGCCTTTCCATTGTTCTGAATGAGAAATAAACCTCTTACATTTCTAACTATAGTTTAAAAACGGTAGCTGCTTTCATAAAATGTCAACGCGTGGAGGATGTCAGGACCGTGAGGAGCGTCGGAATCTGCTTTGTGTCTACTTTCGGGTCCATAATGTGGCATTTATGGCAGATTTACTAAAGGTGTGCAGTTGCTGCTCTGAGGATAGATCAGGCTTGATTTACTAAGGGCCCTAATGGAGACATGTTGAACGTTTTTGTCACTTCATGCCCTCAAGAGGCATTTTGTTTAATTTGTTTTCTTAATTTTTATTTATTGATATAAATCATGTTAAAATCTGAAGAAGGCCTCTTTACCAAGCTCCAAACTAAGCTAAATATTTCAAAAAGTATAAAGATCAAAAACAAGAAAAGTCATAGCACACATGTCCTGAAGGAGCTGAACATTTTAATATTTGAATGGTTTCTGTAGCTGAAAGTATGTGGAAGGAGTGGCATTTGGCGCAAGGTGTAGGTAAAAGAGGATTTGAAGGTTCCTCCCATTGAGTTACATGTTAAAAAAGCTGAATATTTTGAAAAAGTATAACATATTTTGCACAGCATTCACACTAACTAAGGAGGATTTTGGTTAATGAGGCCTATTGTTTATACCATTATTCAAGTATTTTGCGATAAATTGAAAGACATGTGACATTTCTTACAATCTTTAAGCTTCAATGGGAATGAGATTCAGCAGTAAAGTCACGTTTAACTCCCTACAAGGCGGTATGCTGATACAGTGCAGTGAGTTTCCACAACACATTACTATATTGTCCCTTTGTCAAAAAAACAATTTAAGACCAGCTGCTTCTTACCTTGGGAATGGAATATCCCATAAGCTCGGTGTCTTTAATCGTACAGTGGGGGACGCTCAGTGGAACAGTGTTCGCTACCCTCTGGATTTCATGGATCGTAGCCTGGAAGAAGAGATTTTTTACACCAGAAGAACAACAATGCAAGCTCTCAGTCCCTAAATATTTTTAAAAAACAAACAGGAAAAAAAAAGATAAATGTAGCTCAAAGGAAGTGATTCAGATGAATCTATCACAAGGACCCCAACGTAAAGGACTTCTATCACCAGATGTAATGCCTGTTTAATTTCATTCTGCATATATCGGGATTAGTCTTTGTGTCAATGTTTGACAAATAAGCTGCTCAGAGGCACATGAAATAAAAGTGCACTTATTTGAAGGAATCTGTCTAATGGCTTACCTGCACGTAAGGCATGTTGTGTCTGTCCTCAAAACTGGCCTGATCATTCCCTCCTAACACCTCGTCTATCTCCTGCTGACAACGCTCTGAGAGAAACAGCAGAGACATAATAATACTTGGCAATATATCTTGAAATGTGAATACAATCATAATAATAATAATAATACAAATGTATTTATATTGCACTTATCTTACAGCAGGTGCAGCTCAAAGTGCTTTACAATATGGCACACATCACATTTTTCTAACAAACAAGAAATTCCACTCAGATCAGATGTTATGACCTTTTTGAAAACATGCATCATAGCAACATAACATAGTATTTTAATGGGTTAGGATGAGGACACAGGAGGTAAAATATAGGATAATAACAACAATAAAATAGATAATGATTTCTCTTGGAAAAAATAAAGTAAGACAAAACAAATAGATACAACCAAATATAAAAACCTATAAAATTAATAAAATAAATATATACACAATAGAATAAAATAATACAAACGTAATGCTAATTATAATAGAGGTAAAACAATTAAAATACCAACTTAAAAGGATATGTCTCTAATTAAACAGTTATAATATAGGTTAAAACAATAAAGATTAAGTAAATAATAAAGACTATAAGTCCATTTAAAAGGAGGGTGTTGCTAATACAAAGCTCATTTAAAAGAGCTGTCATTTAACAATATCCACCGAGTATTTTCTGATAAGGTGTTCCACAGTTTAGGAGCATAGTGAATAAAAGCTGCCTCACCCATCTTATTTTGGGGGACTTTAGGAATATTGAAACAGCCGGCTGTGGAGGATCTCAGGGCGATGACACGACAAAGAAGATGAATGGCATAAGGCATAGTGAAGAACATGACTGAGGTGGTGAAAAGGCGAACCTGTGTGCACTTGCATTAACGCACTTAACATTTACACTTTACTGTGACAATTTTGTCTATACCATTCAATATGCTCATATTCAGCCACACCCTCTTCACTTTCAACCTCATAGTAATAACCTTCTGATTATTCTTTACATTGTATTTACAGTTCTGGAGTCTGCAGCGTTTAAGTACACGTTTGCAATGATGCATTCCAGTATGCATAGCTGAAAAATCTAAAAATAAATTGAAATGCTAAAGTTGCTATTAAGACTTTTTTTTGCGAGAAAAACGAAATCAAATTCCTACATTACTTCTGCCGATCTTTGATGTTGCCTTTGGGACTAAAGTACCGTTTTGGTGTGAATGAAAACATTTTAAAAACGTGTGCGTCTGAACTATGTCAAGCAATATCTTTTCACTTTGACATAGGTATAAATGAAAGGTTGCATCTTCATTAATCATGCTGAAATACCTATTTCAAACAAACCTACAATGTTGCGCAACCAGAAGGTATGCTGGGACTTGATAACATGTGTTAAATCCTCCAGCAGAGACTTTTTCTATATTTTCCTTTTAACCTCTAGGTAATTGCGGTCTTTCTGCTTTTGTGGCTTTTGGTGTTTATGAGATTTGAGACATAAATATATATCTATATATAATATAATATAAATAGACAATCAATGGAAGATCTATAGAACATAAAAGTCATTCAAATATGCAGGCATACCTTGTATGTGTGGGTAGGTCATTAGGTAAAGGAAACCAGTAAGAAGGGTGTTTGAGGTAGTGTCAGTCCCTGCAAAGTGAAGATCTAGAGTGTACATAATCATCAGATCTTCTGAAAAGGTAGAAGCATCATTGCCTTTCTAGGAACAGAAGAAGATAGAGACAAACAGGATTATAAGTCAATGTTACCCACATATCATACAGAGCATAGAAACTACCACACACACCTACTAAATAAATACTTTTGAAGTGTGTCTGGTACCACACACACACACACACACACACACACACACACACACACACACACACACACACACACACACACACACACACACACACACACACACACACACACACACACACACACACACACACACACACACACACACACACACACACACACACACACACACACACACACACACACACACACACACACACACACACACACACACACACACACACACACACACACACACACACACACACACACACACACACACACACCACACACACACACACACACACACACACACACACACACACACACACACACACACACACACACACACCTCTTTATCCAGCCGATCCAGATAACAGTCAACAAAGTCTCGTGGTTGTCCAGGGACTCTGGTCTTCTTGTGCTCCTGCACTACAGAAAGCGCAAGAGCCTGACACGTCTGAAAAACATTCAAGTAAATATTCAACACTTTTAGTATTTCTTTTTTTTATAAACCACCTAATGTTTGGGTTGTCACTGTATATGTGTCAGAAAAATCCACTGTACCATTTTAATATGTATTTATATAGGTATTTTATATTTTATTTAAATCTCTCTCTGATTACATACCTTGACATTCTTAAAGGCCCGTCTAAAGGGCAGTGGTAGGCTACGAATCATTGGGAAAGAGTCATACAGCTGTGAAAAAAAGGAAAAATAAATAAACGATTAAGGTTAAAATGGTACACACAGTTTATTTTTTATTATCATCTGATCATTCTAATTCACATGGTCGTCTGGAATGAAGTGAAGAGGTATTAAAAGGACCGTCAAACGATGCTTAGTTGTGTATCTTGACAACAGCATATATAGCAACATTGTAGCGTTGTTTTAGGATATTGTCAGCTTTGACATGTGTTTAAAGTAAGGTTAAAGAAAAGATCAATACAATATTTCATAATCTTTTTTAAACTAATGCAGGGATGGAAATGTGTTAGAGTTTATTGAAGGATAAAAATGTGTTTTCATAAACTGTGTTTTCATAATGTATTCTCATTTGCTGTGTTACAAAATGTGTTGATGGAGGAACAAAGCATAGTCTGTTTAAAATGACACACATACACACACACACAGATTCACATGACTGAGAGACACAAGATCCACACGAACAAATAAGGCGTTGGTCAAGACCACATGATTGTCTCATGTTACTGTATTGTTGAAATAAAAGGACTGCACTGAGAGGAGGCGAGTGGGAGTCGGTTAGAGAGTTGGCTCTCCTAGCTGGGAGTTGGTTAAGGAGTGGACATGGCATATGTCACTCGCCGATTCTCCTAGCTTGGAGTTGGTTATGGAGTGACATGACATGTCACTCGCCGATTCTCCGTGCAGCAAGTAAACTTGAAACTCGAGTACTGTTATCTTTGTTCACTGGATTCTGGTATTATTGAACCGAGCTGGGGTTTACCCTTACAAAGTAATATAGAAATACCCCACAAAATGTCCAACCGTTTTAAAAGGTCAAAATTATAATTTCTCTTTCGAAACAATCTTCAAGACCTGACACCATTAGGTTCAGTTGTCCTTTCTGTTTGGTTTAATTAACAAATGCTAGCATACTAACATGCTCAATTAAGATGAAGCACATTATAACTGGCAAGACATCGATACAAAAGCATGCTAAAAGCTTTTAGTTTGAAACACTGCAAGCTGTAGACATTTTAGTCTAAGACTCCTCTTATTTAAAGGCTGAAACATGCTGGCTCACCATAGCCCATGGTCCATTGGCTAACTTGGCATTATCGGTGAAGCACTTCACAATCACTTTGATGAACTCATCGTCATACTCGTAGCGCTGACCAAACAGGACCTGGCAGATGATGTTGGAGGCTGCGTTATGAAACATGAGCTGAGGACTAAAGGATTTGCCTGAAAAAGACAAAATGTAAAACGCAAAAAGACAAAGAAAGATTAAACTAACAACCACAGAGCAGAATTCAACAACATTAAGGGAAATGTATGACATAAATCAAAATCCACTTTGTATTATAATCATCAATCATTTGTGGTGCGACTGATTAAGGTTAACCCTAACATACAAGTAAGGATAGTGGACCCCCAGATGACATACCAATGCTCTTTTCCAGATCATCGGTAATGTATTTAATCTCTCCATGAATCCTCTCCTCCATGGAATCCTTCCCAAGACCAAAGTTCCTTAAAGTCATAAGAGCAAAGCGACGGTGATCCTTCCAACTCGGGCCATAGTCTGCCAGAATTATTCCTATAACATGGGAAGTGGCAAAAAGAGAACATAGTGTGAACTCACAGATCATCACATTACATGTATTTCGCTGAGGCTTTTTATCAAAAGCAACTTACAAAAAGTGCATTGAACCATGGAGAAACAAATAAAAAAACGCAAGAATCCTGAAAGTATATTAACTTACAATAAGACAAAACATTGTCAGTGCAACCACATTGGCTTCAAGTAAGCCAACCCTTTCTAAGTGCTACACAGGAAATATTGGTGAGTATTTTTTCCAGAGTAATTACTATTTTGCTCTGAAATAGTGATATTTAATCATTTTGGAGTGTATTTATTACTCATAGCTTCTAGAGTGCGATCAAAAATGCAGAGTCAATTCTATTGGAGTCAAACCATGACCACGCTGTAACGGAGGTGATCTCTGGGGCCGTAGATCTCAGTCTCTTATATTATATAGCTTCATTATTGGCGAAGTATATTACTTTGTTCCACGCTAAAACATTGCACAGGAAGCATGTGAATCTATGTCATGTATGCATCTATTTGTCACGATCTGTCTATGTTTTAGTTTGTCTGTCTCTGTTTCCTGTTGTAGTTTGAAAAGTGTTCCCCCTCCCGTCTTGTCTGTTGCTGGTGATTGTGTTCACCTGGTGCCCTGTGTTTCTCCTCCCTCCTCACCTGTGTCTTGTTGGTTTGATTAGTCCTGTGTGTATTTAGGTTCTGTTTTCCTGTTAGTGTGTGTGAGGTCCTTGTTGCTGGTGACTGTGTTCACTTGAGACAGTCATATTGATGCTGTGTATCATGAACCACAGCGATGAATAAATGCCCACACCGGGTTGTATTTTAACTCTCTGCCTCTGCCTCCTTGCTTGGTCGGGCCGCTCAATGGTCAGCTTCACACACGCCCACTCGTGTTACTTAAGCACTTTGGTTTATTGACCTTTTTTATTATAAAGATCATTATGGTTCATTTATTCAATTCTGAGTCAAATTACCTTCTATTGGGAGTAAAATTACCTTCTAGTTGGAGTGAAATTACGTTCGATTGGGAGTAAAATTACCTTCTATTATGAGTAAAATGGCAGTAGAGTTGTTTTTAATATACACTACATAGAGTAAATAACCATTAAGCAGAGTCAAATCTAAGCACATAATAGAGTAAAATGAACTCTAAAAATACAACTCTGAACAAAGAGTACATTTTACTCTATATAGGTTGGGACCAAATGTAATATTTTTAGAGTAACATTTTCTTCAATTTGAGTCAATGTACTGTGTAGGTACAGAAGTGAGAATTTTATATCTTTTAATTAATTAAGCAGGTGGTTTTTTCAGTCTGCAACTGAAGATTTGTAGACTTGTATGTGTTCTGATATCACTGGGAAGCTTGTTATGTCATTTTCAAGCCAGGATAAAAACAGGTGTGTTTTCGTTAAGGGGGCCTTCGTCCTAGTCACAGTGACGGAGTAAGGATTCGATTGGCTGATCAAAGGCTAAAAGCAAAGCAAGTTGTAGGAAGTACCGGATCCATTCACAGCATCAGTATTAGCTTCTTAAAACAGACTGGGCAGCCACTGGTAACCATTGAAGCAAGCAACCGAGCGGTGTAGTGTGGGAACTTCAGTCTTGCAGCATATTTAGGAGGCATAACTGAAAAAAAATGTTGGGACAGCTGGGAGCATACATTAAGCCAGAGAGAAGTGAGAGAGGGAGTGAAGATCATGTCACAGAAGTATAGTATTAGAGGAGATAGGTTAGTCGTGTTTCGATAAGTGGAGAGAGTAGGATATGAATAAGGGGGGGCTACAAAGAGGTTTGAGGTAGAGCTGTTTCTGGTGAAAATAAAATCAAGGCGGTGGCAAGCTTTGTAAGAAGGTGGGAATTGGACAGTGAAAGTGCAAAGGAGGTGAGAAGAATAAGTAAGTCAGATGACTTCTCTGCCTTAATATTACAGTCGCCGAAGGGCCAGTTTTCAGGGATGTCAGATAGGACGGTGTCTAATTCCACCAAGACTTTCCCCAAAAGAACAAGGATTCAATCGGTAGTTAACTGAAACAGCGTTAAATTAGGATGACGAAAGAAAATCAATTCACCAGTGCCGCATCATCCAATGTCACAAATAGGTTCATCACTGTCAAATATGTTCTATTTCAGAGCTCATCTACCTTAAAACCTGTTTGAAATGGAGACTATTATTACAGCCTTTTTTTTTTTAAATAATACATTTAATGATACAATTACAATATCTGCCCTATGTGACATCATGTGTGTTTTACCTTTTCTCTCAGTGCTGTCATTGACAAACAGATCTTGTGGTCTTCCAGCAAAATCAATGCCCTTGGTCACTATAGCATCCTTCATGGCCTTCATCCCATTGATGACAACAGCTGCTTTGGTACCGAGAAACACACTGTACACATTTCCATAGGTGTTCCTCAGCTGGGGGACAACAAGATAACATGTCAGTGTTTGAAAGACATACATATGATTTTTTTCACCAAAGTAAAACAAAAACATATTTCTCCACTAATTTCCGTCTTTAACGGTTCACATAGGAAATTTGGCTTGCAGCATGTCAAACATACAGTAGACAGTCGGGAGCAGACTAGTCCGTCAGTAAAGCAGATCAACTAAAAATAAATATAATTTACAAAGAGTAACACAAAATAATAATAATAATAATAATAATGAAACAACAGTTAGAAACGCTAATATGAAAATAATGAATACATGTACATTTAGGAAAATGAACAAGATACAAAACAAAAAGGACAATATGACAACTATGAGTGTGCAGCAAAAATTAAGTAATTGTATTGAAAAATAAATTGCTAAATGATGCAGCAATTGTGTGCATCGCGTTGGTTGTGATTATCGAGATTACAACTAAGACTTTAGCCAGCACATTCATGGACTACTGGGGTGGAATTTAGTTTGAACTCCAGACATTGGTACGTAAATGGAGGATTCTGTTTTTAAAATAAATGATTTGATGCATTGACCACCACAAAACGATTCCCCTTTAACCTACAATGTGTGGTGAACTCTTTGGCAGTAGAGATCCCATAAGCTCGTCCCAAATATTGACTTATTACTACTAGGTAATGTATTGTGTGTAAGTTAGAAAACGCCCAGTATGGCCTGTACCACTGGTTGGCTATAGTCTCTAAGTGCACAGAAGGTTACCTCTGTACACAGATAGGCATGGTGTTATGTAATCACTAGCAGTGTCTGAAAAGCCTGTTTCTAGTCATCTATACACTGGAAAGCTCTGTATAGAGTGAACTGATTTGAGTGGCTTTCACATGTATTGTACACTAATAGCCAAAATATTGTATTCATAGTCTCATAGTGCAGCACCAGTAATTAGTCTCATAGTGCAGCACCAGTAATTAGTCTCATAGTGCAGCACCAGTAATTCTTGAAACTCACTAGCAGGAAAAGCAGCACAGTGGCCACAAGTCTTGAACAAATCCAGACAAATGTTACATACTATTTACAGTTTAAACCACAATCCCAGAACGATTTAAAGCATTGGAAGCACAATATCATTTATTTGATTGTGTTTTTCTTACCCTCTCAAAGTCCTTCAGGGGGTTATCTAGACTCAGTTCCAAAATGTTCCCAAGTATTGGAAGGGGAGAGGGTCCCGGTGGAAAGTTTTTGGGCCTCCGGGATTTGAGTTGAAGGAGGATGAAGACCACACAGACACATAGCAGGAGGATTGAAGCAAACATGGTGGAAAGGACTGAAGTAAAGAGGCAAGCTGGTTGACTTGCTTTAAAAGTGAAGCTCAGCGCTTAGCCCTGCCTGGTTGTGTACTTTGCACACCTGTGTTAAAGGTGAATGAAAACAACAAACAGAATCAGGTTACACTTTAATAGGGCATAGGTTCTGACAAGTTTTAGCAGGATTAATCCACAATAAATTGCCTGTTCATATGCTGCTAAATAAGCTCTTTGATAAGAGAGAAATGAAGTCAATGAGTTGAATTGGTAGCTCTGTCCTGGGGAGCCCTCTGGACACTGTGGAGTTGGTGGGGGACAGGGGAGTGATAGCATAGCTGTAATCACTATTGGACCATATATCCCACCCCCTCCAGAAAACCCTGTCTGCACTGTTCAGCTCCTTCAGTGACAGGCTGCTTCACCCGCAGTATTGTTGCGGCTCGGTGCGCGGCCAAGTCTATCTAAAGTCTGCCTGCCACGGAGCTGTGTGCACATGAGCGGAGGATCACATCTGTAGCACTGGTAAGCTAACCGTTTATTTTCTTCAAACTTCAATTATAACACGGTGTGTTGTCAGGACAATACTAACTTCTGTTTTTGATTGAGTGCATTTTGCAGCAAAACGCTACAGACGAGGGGTTATGTTCTGCATTGCATAGGAACCCCAGTGTTTTTCAAATGTGTTGGCGCGAACTGCAAGCAAACAACGGTGTGTTGTCAGGACAATACTAGCTTCTGTTTGTGATTTATTGCATTTTGCAGTCATAGTTATAACGTCTACTCACCGGGAGTTAATTTAAATAGTCTGGTAACGTTATTGAAGTATCATGCTAAAAGCTGAACTCTTTATTTTCGTTTAATTCATGCTGTTGTGAAGAGGGGGTTTTGAAGCTACATCTGAGCGGGTTCAAACTTAACGGGCAGTCGTGTTAACGTGCTAAAAATGATTACCTGCCGTTTTTGCAGCAACACGCTACAGACTTTGAAGGGTTATGTGCTGCATTGTAGAGTGCATAGGAACGAACCCCAGTGTTTTTTCAAATGTGTTGGCACGAACTGCAAGCGAACATTTTGTACTTACACAGCTTTTAACCTCTTAAGCCCCACGGACCCGAGCTCGGGTCCGAAAATGCTATATATGTAGCAACAGTGCTATATCTGAAGTGTCATTCATGAAACTATTAATATTCCATACCCATCTGACCGGATGAAACTTGGCTAACTGACGATACGAAAAAAAAAAAAAAATTCGAAAAAGAAGTCTCACAAGAAGCCTCTAAATGACCCCATGTCAAAAACGGACAATTGCTATGTCTGCTCATAACTCACAAAAACGATCATTTATAATTCATCCTTTCCGCACAAACACATTTTCTGAAAGCTGAGATTCCACAGATTCCATGGGTATACACCCCATCACTACAGGCACAACATTAACCGAGCTGGCAGCCAGAACATAGCAAGTAAACAATATCAGTTTTCAAATCCCTGACAATAATTAGGTCTTACCTTGGCTGTTTTGTGATCAAAAGTTGTGTTCAAAGGAATAAAAACGCTGCTCAGGGTTAATCCAATGTCTCTTGTCACTTTAAAATGATTACTGAGACATATATATATATATATACATACATACACATATATATACATACACACATATATATATATATACATATATATACATACACATATATATACATACACACATATATACATACACATATATATATACATACACATATACATATATATATACATACACATATATATATACATACACATATATATATACACACATATATACACATACATACATATACATATATATACACATACATATATATATATATATACATACATACATATATTTATTTTTTTAACAATAATTTATTTTTATTTTTATGGATACCTATAGTGATAATTAAATGTTGTACAATGATTTTTACATTCTGGTACCTGAAAAAGGTTAAATGGCACTGATGGAACCAAATGTACCCAAAGCTTAGTCCGCTTGGACTTTTTTTTGCTAAATCTCTCTAAAAAGGTCAATTCTCACTTGTTGTGCCTCAATCTTGATACAGGGTACTTATTATATGTTATACTTTGGATTCCTAAAGCTTTTAGGCTACTAACCCATCATTCAAGGGTGGTTTTCACTATAAGTAATGGGTTTTATTTGGGCGGAGACAAAAATGTACACTTTTTGACTATGTTCCATCTGGATTTACTCTGACACTGAAACATCTGTATTGATTCTGACACTTCTACATCCAACTCACAGATGTGACCTTGCTTTGATAAAAGAAATTATTCATATAACCCTTTTAGAAGTTAAGTTATAGTCCTTTGTTTTGGGCATGTCATTTTCGAGCCTGAAACCTGAAAAACAGGCTTGGGGCTTAAGAGGTTAAAGCTCACTTTTATCGGATTCACAATGTGCCTGCAGCCACAGCTAGAGCCATTGTTACAGATTTGAAATGTGCAATTTGGTTATGTGCGCGCCAATTTCAAACAGTGAAAGAACTTATATCCCACTTAAAAGATCATATAGTGGAGGGACGACCTGTGTTATGTCCAGTAACTGGTTGTACAAATAATGTCACTGTGAAATCGTCATTTACTGCTCATATGTCCAGAAAACACAGAGCATGTTCTGTTGATAACATAAGTGACATGTACAGGGAAGCCATTTCTCCGTGTTCTGCACATGAAGATGCTTCCCAGAGCCCAAATGATGCAACAACAAATGAAAGCACTGATTTGCCACAGCATTTCAATGAGACCTATCTTAGGAATGTATGCTTATTCTACTTAAAATTGCAAGGGCAGCTCCTTCTTCCAGCTTCAACAATACAGACTATTGTCGAAGAGATGCAAAATGTGCATGAGTTGGGACCAAGCGGCAAACTGTGGGGTAGAGCCGGTGTTGTGTCACATTATGCCTCCCCGTCATGAAATGCCCCCCTTGTCACGGGAACGCGCATTTCTAAATGACACGTTTACACCTCTAAATGACACGTTAACACCATAGGTTTACACCTTAAAACGATGTTTAAAACGAAAAGTAAACGTTCAGGGTTTTTATTAATGGTAATTTTCAGACTGTGAGTTGTTTAGTGGTAGCTCATAGTCTTGATTCTTCTGGTTTAACTTTTCGCTCCGTATATGAGGTGTCGAAATTCGTTCGTCACTTCCTTTTCAGTTTGTTTTTTTAAATGTTTTTTTTATCATTATTGTTACGTCCTGTCTGTATAAACGTGCTTTAAAATGTATTGTTTAATTTTACATAGTTGTCATCTAATAATCTAAATATGTTTACAAATGTTACATAGTCTTTGTCAGCATATATGCTATGCGTACAAAATAAAAGTGTGACATTCATGAAACTTGCTCCATTTATTGGTACCAGTCCTAGAACCATACCCTGAAAAATGCTTGAGGGTGGGATTCATAGAAACCTCTTTTGGTCGGGGGGGGCATTTTATGACAGGCCTGGCCATCACAATATGCCCCCCCTTGCTATCTTACAAAATAAAAGTGTCACATTCATGAAACTTGCTCCATTTATTGGTACCAGTCCTAGAACCATACCCTGAAAAATGCTTGAGGGTGGGATTCATATAAACCTCTTTTGGTGGGGGGGGGGTTTTATGACAGGCCTGGCCATCACAATATGCCCCCCCTTGCTATCTTACAAAAATAAAAGTGTGACATTCATGAAACTTGCTCCATTTATTGGTACCAGTCCTAGAACCATACCCAGAAAAATCAACCAGCGCAATGACGGTCAAGCAGCTGTTATTGACAGCTACGCTATGACCGCCATCTGGAAACACACATTTGGAAGAATCCGGGTATGTACATGATTGGAATGACTTTGCTTTTGTAAATGTTGCAAATGTGCATTTTTCAACAGGAATGTAATACTTTTGCAACTACTCTCAGGTTGATCCAATGGCACACACAGTCATCGTGGGAATTGTGAACGAGAACCATCACTGGATGTTGGTGGTGAGAATAGGAGCATATTTTAAGCTCCAATCTGTATCTATAGTGCTGTATACACCATATATAATTAGTGATTTGCAAGATAACCGGGCCACACATACATGCTGTCACTTATTATTGATCAAATCTAAACAATACCCTACATCGTACCTGCGTAATGTATGGTTCCTGCCTAATGCATGTTGTGTTTCCATGTGAATAATAAAAGGTAATGTACCCCCATGAGAAGAAAACCCTCTTCTTGGATCCACTTGGAGAAGGGAAAGGCAAAACGAAGGTGTGCCTGCAATCTACAAGGTACATTTGATACAGTGTACTAGTTCCGGTGTTTTATGAGTATTTTGACAATGATGTGCTGCATCTTGACACATGTACTATCTACATACTGTAGAGCCTTTATGAGGATGAAAGGCTGCAAGGTGTCAAGATGGACATGCAGCACCCTCCCCCATAATCGCCAACAAGACAGCACATCCTGTGGTGTCCTGGCCTTAAAAGTGAGTGTGAAATGCATTTAGCCAAACATTACTCTCAAACTCAAATTCAGTAGCAATTAGACTGAATATCTTGACTTGCTTTTATACATCTTGATCAAAGATGTATTGAATTGTGTCAAACTACACATATACAACATGTCATTCTTTAAATCTGTTGGGTCATTTGTCTGTATTCCATTTGAGGGTAAAATCATAGACCATGCAGTCCAGATACTAATCAAGGTTCTCTTCAGTTTGCAGAGAACATTTTACTGGGGGAGGTAATTGAGTTTGAAACCTCACAGAAGGCAGTGCACGAGCTGAGGCTGGACATTGCTACTTCTCTCCTCAGAGAATCTGGTTTGTTACCTTTTCTCAACATTGTCAATGACTTCATGTAGTTACTTTTATTAATTGTATCTCATAAGTATGCATCAATAACCTAGTATATTAATAATGTGCCATGCAAATTGTTGTATTGTATCACTGCTTGGACCATTGGTACTGTTGGGTTAATCTTGACCAGGGAAATTATCAGGGTTTTAAAAGCAACACAGTGGCTTAAGTATAGATTAGGGTAAATAGTCACTACATACAGTATATTGTGTATCTCAACTCCAAACAGATAACATATGAAGCATCGCAGGCAGGCATCTTCAACTGCAATTTCATATAGGCTACACACATCACACTCCAACACACCCTTTCAATTCTGCGGTTTATTTAAGATGTGAGATTTCCCCATCTTCCTCCTTTCAATGTGCTCATTGGTGTGTATTACTTTTAACTGATATCCTCAGTTAATTTTTACCTTGAACTTATTATAATCAAAGCTGTATAGCTAATACATGTGATGAACAACAAAAGAACCATGAGAACCAAACTTAAATTGATGCGTACAGTGCGAAATAAGTTTTTGTAATGACATTGTGCAGGTTCCCATTCTACAGAGGGTACGGAGAGGGTGAAAGAAGGAGCAGATGGCTCCTCTGTGCTCAGATTTAATCATTTAGAAAATCTATGTGTTTGTGTGTGTTTTGCCTTTTCTTCACACAAAATAATAAAAGACCACAACAAATGTGTCCTTATATAATTGACCTTTTAGTCAAAATTTGGAATGGGTCACCTTGACCCCAAATCTGCAATGTGGTTTATCTGAAGATATTGATTACGTTTTGTCTCAACAGATGATCTAAGCAGGCTTTGCTTTTACTGCGGGATGGAGGAGCAGGATGAAGAACATTGGGTAATTTCCTATTGCACATTACAAATAAAGAAAATTAGCAGAAATATGTTTCCAGACTTTATCAACATAACATTTGCGTTGGTAATTGCTACTATATTTGGCATCTTCAGCATTAACTGATAAAGGATTAATGGTTTGCTTGTTTTTCCATACATTTTTGTTGAAAATGTATTTCTTTCTCATAACACAACATTTATGTTTTTGAAAGATTTCGATTATTGAAGGAATGGTTAGAATGTTAGTGGGAAATACATTAGAGATATTCTATTATCATAACAAAATCCCATAATGCATACCTTACATAACAAGTATTTATTGTTTTCTCAGATTTGCTGTGACATTTGTCAGCAGTGGTACCACCACCAATGTGTACAAAGGCCGCCAGTTGATCAACCGTACTTGTGCCCTGGATGCACATAATGCCCCGAAGGAACCATCATTAACTGTCCACTGTCATTTCAACCAATGCAACTATTGTTTGGCCTGTCATAAAATTCCCCTCCCCCACCAAAAGAGGTTTCTATTAATCCCACCCTCAAGCATTTTTCAGGGTATGGTTCTAGGACTGGTACCAATAAATGGAGCACGTTTCATGAATGTGACACTTTTATTTTGTAAGATAGCAAGGGGGGGCATATTGTGATGGCCAGGCCTGTCATATAATGCCCCCCCCACCAAGATAGGTTTCTATGAATCCCACCCTCAAGAATTTTTCAGGGTATGGTTCTAGGACTGGTACGAATAAATGGAGCAAGTTTCATGAATGTGACACTTTTATTTTGTAAGATAGCAAGGGGGGGCATATTGTGATGGCCAGGCCTGTCATAAAATGTCCCCCCCCACCAAAAGAGGTTTATATGAATCCCACCCTCAAGCATTTTTCAGAGTATGGTTCTAGGACTGGTACCAATAAATGGAGAAAGTTTCATGAATGTCACACTTTAATTTTGTAAGATAGCAAGGGGGGGGGCATATTGTGATGGCCAGGCCTGTCATAAAATGCCCCCCCCCCCACCAAAAGAGGTTTCTATGAATCCCACCCTCAAGCATTTTTCAGGGTATGGTTCTAGGACTGGTACCAATAAATGGAGCAAGTTTCATGAATGTGACACTTTTATTTTGTAAGATAGCAAGGGGGGGCATATTGTGATGGCTAGGCCTGTCATAAAATGCCCCCCCCCCCCCCCCCCCCAAAAAAAAGAGGTTTCTATGAATCCCACCCTCAAGCATTTTTCAGGGTATGGTTCTAGGACTGGTACCAATAAATGGAGCAAGTTTCATGAATGTCACACTTTTATTTTGTACGCATAGCATATATGCTGACAAAGACTATGTAACATTTGTAAACATATTTAGATTATTAGATGACAACTATGTAAAATTAAACAATACATTTTAAAGCACGTTTATACAGACAGGACGTAACAATAATGATAAAAAAAACATTTAAAAAAACAAACTGAAAAGGAAGTGACGAACGAATTTCGACACCTCATATACGGAGCGAAAAGTTAAACCAGAAGAATCAAGACTATGAGCTACCACTAAACAACTCACAGTCTGAAAATTACCATTAATAAAAACCCTGAACGTTTACTTTTCGTTTTAAACATCGTTTTAAGGTGTAAACCTATGGTGTTAACGTGTCATTTAGAGGTGAAACGTGTCATTTAGAAATGCGCGTTCCCGTGACAAGGGGGGCATTTCATGACGGGGAGGCATAATGTGACACAACACCGGGAAGCCAATACGGAAGTGCCACACACTGCAGTTAATATATTGGCATAAATAAAAGCACTAGAATTTCACTTACCGCAAAACCGCATTCATGCACCGTCTGTTTTAACCGCAGAGCGAGTAACAATAGTCCGATATATAAGCATGAAGAACAAACAACCACGGCCGGCTACAAGTTGTGTTTCCTGGATGAGCTGAGCAGGCAGAGTCCCTGTAGCTAGCTTCACGGAGGAGGTAGCAGAGAGACAAGAAGCTAACAGCGGCAGGCACTAGACAGAGCCGTCACTCAATGTGACCACGCCCTAATTTATGCACAAACTTTAAGACCTAATATAAATAAAAGGGTCTTGTTAGAAAACAATTCACTCACAGATCCATAATCATGAAGGTGGAATCTAACTATATCGATAATAAAATGTATGGAGCCAGGGGTAGAAACATGTTTTTTTCTGCTGTAAAGTTGGGCATTTTAACATGGGGTCTATGGAAATTGCTCCTTTCTGCAGCCATCGCCTATCGGCCAATATATGAACTGCAGTGTGTGGCACTTCCGTATTGGCGTCCCGGCTCTTCCCCAGAGTTTGCCGCTTGGTTGGGACAGGATTACATTTTAAGTAAACTACGTTCACTTTTAAAAGATGACATGTCTCTAACTGATGATGCTATTGCTAAAATCTGTGATTGTGTGAAGGATTCCGATCTGTTCTCAGTCTGTCACATATTCAAGAGCTCAGACATTCAAAAAGATGTTCAAATACATAGAGCCTAAAAAAGTAACATTAGGAAATGATGAAAATATGACACAAAGGTTTGCTTACTACATACCTGTGAAACAAACAGTAAGTGGCTTATTAGAATCAGAATTTTGGAAGAATTCAATGTCACAGCAGTCACGTGAAACAGACTCAGATGTTTTTGGTGACATAAGTGATGGCCACAACTTTAAGTCCAACCAGTTCTTCATTGAAAATCCAGGATGCCTGAAGCTAATTCTGTACCAGGATGCTTTTGAAATTGTCAACCCCCTTGGCTCTGCTAGGAAAAAACACAAAGTTGTTGCAGTCTATCTTTCTGTGGCAAATCTACCTGCTCATGTGCGCTCTAATACTGATCACATGTCCCTGGTTTTATTGTGTGGGGAGAATGACCTAAAACAATTTGGATTTGCTAAGGTGTTCTCAGAGATGTTAGTGGATTTAAAAGATTTGGAGGAAAATGGAATAGTTACAACAGGTGGAGACATGGTCAAAGGGGCTCTGTACTGCATTGCGGGTGATAACTTGGGTTCACACGGTATTGGTGGGTTCACTGAAAACTTTAGTCGTTCTAAGTACTTTTGCAGGTACTGTGAAATCACACAAAGTGAGTTTAAGAGTGATGATCCATATGTATGTGGACCACAGCGCACACCCGAAGGTTACGATTCTGCTGTTGCTGATCTACAAGTTGAAGACAGTCAACACATCAAAGGCATAAAGGCAAACTCTGTCTTCAATGCTCTGACATCTTTTCATGTTTGCAAACCAGGTCTCCCACATTGTTTAGGCCATGACATATTTGAGGGTGTCTTATCCTACGATGTTGCACTGTACTTAAAGTATTGTATTAAGAAAAATAAATGGTTTACATATTCACTTTTGAACCGGCGCATAAAACAGTTCAAGTACAAAGGATCTAATGCTCTCACTAAGCCCTGTGCTGTCAACTCTGACGTATTCAAGCTTTCAGGTCAAGCCATTCAGAACTGGAATTTGTTAAGATTGCTGCCTATATTAATTGGTGACAAAGTGCAAAATCCAGAAGATGATGTGTGGCAGTTGACTCTCCAGCTTAAAGATATTGTTGATCTGATTTGTGCACAAAATATGTCGTTGTCACAGGTAGCCTATCTTGACATTACAATCCAAGAATATTTGGAAACAAGGAAGTGTTTCTTTCCTGAGAGTCCACTAAAACCAAAGCACCATTTCATGAGACACTATCCGGCACTCATCTTGAAATTTGGCCCCTTGATTAGAGTATGGACAATGCGTTTTGAAATTAAACACAGCTACTTCAAGAGATGTGCCAGGCATTTGAAAAACTTTAAAAACATCTGCCTAACTTTATCCGCAAGACATCAGATGTTTCAGGCATATCTTTCAGCTGGGCCAGGATGCAGTCAACTTCTGCAAGTCAAAGACAGTTGTACTTTTTACTCCAGTCTTTACAGTGATTCAATCAAACATGCAGTGAGAGAGTTTGGCTTTTCAGAAAACAATACTAGTGTTTCCACAGACATACAGTATAAAGGTACATCATATAAAAAAGGGCTTTTCCTTGTGTCCAAAAGTGACGAGTCCATGGAGTTCGGAGAACTGCTCATTATTTTAATTCAAAATTATTCATGTGTGTATTTTGTGATGGATATACATAAAGCTGACTATCATTCTGAATACCACCTGTACTCTGTGACAAAACAGAATGCAAGGTTGCAATGTGTTAACATTAACGACTTGGTAGATTTGTATCCATTACCATCATACATTGTTAACGGGCACCAAGTCATCCCGCTGAAACACAGTGTGTTGTCAAAATAAACACGATATTGGCTACTGTGGTGTTGAAACCATTCTAACAATGCACATGTATGCTTAGGGAAAATGATCAAATACTATTTGAAAAATATTAAAGTGACAGCAGTTTTTGTTCTGCAATATACAGAAATAAAAAGTATACATCCTCAATCACACCCTATACTCAAATTAGAGGTTCCTCTTATCTGTATATAATGTATGAATAGTATTACTTGACTAAATGTCTAATTATCTTTGTCTTTCATTTGTAATTTTGAAAACCGAAAAGTGTCGTTCTTCCATGATTCCAGAGATGACAGACATGGAGCAAACATTTATACGCAGTGCCATCACTGAGGTCTTGCATGACCTTCCAGAGATGACAAAGGATATTCTGGAAGAGACTTTACAATCCCTTGGGGTGGAGACCGATGAGGATTTCCAGTTTGTTAAGGAAGCAGATTTGCTGTCAGCTTTGAGGCCAATTCAAGCCAGAAAAGTCCTTGCTGCTTGGAAGCTGAGATGTATGTATACTTGTGACTATTGTAGTACAGGATGCAACCAGTGCCCAAAGTGGCCTGCGTAAAAGATCAATCAGAAATATAGAAACATTAAAACGGTGTTCCTCATAACTCTTTTTGTTTGTATGTGTGTATTTTGCCATCCTATTCACCCAGAAGTTCATCCTCAACCTCTTCCAACAGCTGCAAAAGCCCTGATATAGACTGGATGGATAGCTTTGTGATACCGTGGGATAAGTTCCCAGAGGAACTGATGCAGACACTGGAGAGAGGAAAACGACCTAGTCCACAAATGAGAAGAGAGATGGTACGGATTCTGGTGTGTGAAATGAAGCGAAAAAGTACTTGCTTAAGTAAAAGACACACTATTGAAGTTGCAAAAAAGATAGTGGCAAAGTATCCTACGTCTCTTCAAGACATAATAGAGGGAGACGTGATCGGGCCAGGGTATCACTCTCTGGTCAAGCAATCGCAAAATAGGATAGAGAATGTGAAGCCATCCACGACCCCAAAAATAAGAAAACGAAAGAATCGCACAGACGAGTCAGACACAGGTGAAGTCCACCCAGAACAGAGAGCAGCAATCCAGGACACTTAAATGGGATTTAAAATTCCTGCCCCTTGGAGAGACCGAAGAGAGCCAGCAGGAGAAAAAGGGAAAACTGAGGGTGATGTCTAAGCAAACTGATGCAAATCCAGAGGAGGTCAAACTTCTAATGAAGTCAACGTTCTACACGCAGCGTAAACAAGTCAATCAGGGGAAAAATATAAAATCCCTCCTGCAAGAGTGGCCGTTTTGGTTCGACGACCTTGGCATGGCAGTCCACTTCAAGGAACTCACAGGAAGTGAGCTTCAAGAAACTTTCACACGGAATTTGGATCTGAAGGGGAAACGACTCCTGAACTACATGAATACTGTTGCTGTGTACAAGAGCAAAAGGTTGCTACATGCTGTAACGATAGTTACGGCTGTAACTACGGTTCTATGAGTCCCGGATGACCGCCAGAGGCGGTGCTTTAGCACTGGATGTGTCCATCGCGCGCATGCGCAGCTCGAGTACCAATACCAACAAAGTCACCTGTGACCCACGTGACACCGGCTATATCAGCCGGTGTCGTCAGTGGATCTGTTCCCAGAATCTTCTCGCGAGCACACAAGAATTCTGAGTGACAGGATACTCTGGCGGTCATCCGGGACTCATAGAACCGTAGTTACAGCCGTAACTATCGTTCTATTTCGTCCCTACTGACCGCCAGAGGCGGTGCTTTAGCACTGGATGACCTATACCAACCATGTCATGAAGAATCCAAGCACTTACTCACCTAGCTGGAAGCAGCGGAGCTTGGCTACAGGACCACACCCAGAGGGTGAGGAGTGGCGACATTGACTCGGTAGAACCTGGAGAATGTGCCAGAAGACGCCCATGATGCCGCGGCACAGATGGTCTCCAGGGGCACCCCTCTTAGGGCAGCCCACGATGTTGAGATGCTTCTTGTAGAGTGGCATCTCACCCCTGATGGCAGGGGGCGGCCACTGGCCCCATAGGCATGTGTGATGGTATCAACCACCCAGTGGGACAGCCGTTGCTTAGAGAGAGCACGACCCTTCTTAGTGCCGCCATGGCAAACGAAGAGCTGCTCTGACTGCCGTATACCGGCTGTAGTATCAATATACGCCCTCAGGGCACGCACAGGGCACAGCAACTCAGGTGTGCCGCTCTCCTGTGGAATGTTAAAGCGTGCCAGCTGGATAGGCCGATTGGAGTGGGCTAGTGGAAGCACCTTGGGCAGGACCGCCACATTCGGCCAGAGGATAACGCCCGAGTCATCGGAGTTCCACCTCAGGCATGTACTGCTTACGGAGAGGGCATGAAGCTCTCCGACTCGCTTCCCTGAGGTTACGGCAAGCAGAAATGCTGCCTTCAGGGACAGCCACTTAAGCCCGACCTGGGCCAGGGGCTCGAAGGGCGGAGATGATCGGGCATTCAGCACTAGGGGCAGGTCCCAAGCCGGGGCCCTTGGGGTGCTAGGGGGACGCTGCCGTAGAGCCCCTCTTAGAAAGAGGGACACCAACCTGTGGCGCCCCACTGTGGCGCCATCGACTCCGACATGTCGGGC